CTGCAGCTATTTTATCCGCATGGGGTCAGATTCAACGTTAAATCAACGGTCTAAGGTCAAAGATTATCACGCATGCCGAAAAGCTTCTATTGATCAATATATGTCGTTCGTCGTCTTCTTGAACTCGTTGTGAAGGCACCACCAACAGAAGCTGCATGTGTTACAAACCGTACTTATATAAACATGTGGCACATACACAACACAGGTTTTATAGAAGAAGATTTTCACTTGATTGGGTAAGTACGTTTAGTCGAATTGCCATCCTCATGCTCCTTATATGAGACCCTGCAATGTCGACTACCGCGAACATTTGACGGAAATTTTCCGTGTAACTAGTTTTATGTAGCTAGGAGAGCCACCTTAGGTTGTTTGCTAATTGCGCAACTTTGTGTACTTCTCAGGATTCAAGATGGCGGCCACTGCCATCTTGAGTGCTGGTCCAGTTTAAAGTTTTATCTCGACGACCTAGAGGGTCGTTTAATACCGTTATTAAAGGATTGCCGTTAGCAAGGAGCCCACTTCTGCAATTATTTTTAACTGATGGGGTCAACATCAGACTCAAATCGAAAGACAAGGGTCAAACTGAAATATACATATCACCAAAATACCTATCCTCAATTGGTTAATATATGCCGTTTGTTGTCCTCTCGTACTTAAAATGATGTAAGCTGTTCAGCCCATTTGCCAGGAAAATTATTCACATAAATAAAACAGCCGTAATAGACAGTAGAAATATAAACCCATCTAAATCTCCATTCTCCTGGTTTTTCTCCTAGGAATAAGACTATCTCTACTGTCTTGTCCTCTCGTACACATCGTAAGGGTACAGCTCGCAGCAGCTTAGTGTGTAATAAACCATGATTATATGAATAATGCATTATATAATACATGCATGGACATGGACTATTGGATGTACTGCATTGCCCGCTCAGAGACTCGTCGTTGCAAAGCGACACGCTATGAGTGACACACAAGTCTGTCAGGACGTGAGACCTTCGCTCACAAGTCGTGATTTTGCAGCTATATATCGAGGAAAGGAAACAAGAACAATGACCATCTTCGCGGACTCATATTGCGGGCTGCGAAAAGTTGCCTACATGCCTTTTTTAATGCATTTCGTTTGAAGGGAGACTGTCCGCTGACCAGGAAAGAGTGTAAGCCGAAAGACAGCCAGACTTATGCAGCTGAATGCAGGATAAACGGTGTGATCCATAAATAATCATCGTGCGATCGCGTTCAAGTAGCAGTTAGTGAACCTGTGGGACTAGAGTGACAACGCTTATGCTCAGCGGGGTGAATGATCTGCAGTCTTCGGACCTTCCATGTTATGCCCATTGCGACAATCGATTCTGTAATGCTCCCGCGCACCGCCCCTCCACCAAGCAGCTTGCGTTCATCCCGCCGGTCGAGTGCTCCCGGGCTGACCCCAGGTAGTCGCTGAGCTCCTAGTAGTAGCACTTTTTGTCATTCACCAGAAAACTGTTGACAGGGATGTCGAAGGATGCCGACTAGGTGAACCGAATTCAAGTTGACAAAGAAGGTAGTGAAATGGGCTTCTTTGTGGCAGATGCCATTAATTATAAGTGTAATATGATGCATTTCGGTGGCTTTGGCAGTAAGGGCATTATGCATAAAATGGAAGGTCGGCAGTAAGACCAGATCAAAAAAGAAAAGCACGTAGGGTTATTATTTCTCGGGATTTAAAGGCTGAAAAACCATGAGGGGCTGCTAGGAGCAAGGTACTTCGGATGCTGGAACGTGTCAACAGGAATGTTCATTACAAGGGAAGGAATGCTGTCAAAAAATGAGCTTAGCTTATGCCAGACCACACCTGGAGTACTTCTACAGGCTTGGTTTCCATGCTTCCAAAAAGCTATAGATAGGCTGTAAAGAGTACAGGGAAAAGCAACTATGATGTGAAGATGGATTGGTCACTTAGATTACAACACAGGCTTAGGGCCTTTGATTTAAATTCACCGAAACATTGTTGATAAGACAGCAGCCTTATTCCTCGGCGAAAAACCAAGAGAATGGAGATATAGGAGAATAGATGTATAAATCAGACAGATATGAATAATGTCCCCCGCAAATACACTGAACAGCTCGCGAAATATCGTAGACTGACAGGGGATCTGATGGAGGTATTCAAGACTGCGCGAGCAATAGACACGGTGGATCTACATGGAGCACTGGAAATTAGGCCAAGGCATAAGGGAAACCAGTTTCATTTATCAAAAGGCAGGAGGTCTATGAAGCGATAGATGTTATTTAGTCAAAGAGTACTGAATGATTGGAATGGGCTGTCAAACGAAGTTGCAGGAAGCTCCCCTCTAACAACATTTAAAACCCATTAGGACAAGTTCTATCGGCCCAAAGATCTCGTTTCAGCTAAATTCGTGCACGTCAGGTGGTACAATTGGTTTTCAGGATATGTACGGAACCTGAGGTAGGCGAATATTGATGGGTCCTTGTGGCTTTTTGCTGGCCAGATGCCTCCGTGTCTTTTGGCTTTTCATTTTTCATCGGCATTTTCATTTCGACCCACGTTCTGCAATCAAAAACGGGTTAGTCACACGCGCTTTTGATTGTTTTTCATGCATAAACAGCTAAAAACATTTCGTATATAGTGCCCAGTATAACCCACCGGTATACTGAGATGCAACCGACCAATTTACTTTACTGCCATACCCACCACTGTTCTTTTGTAGTCGGGACCGTGGCACGGTCCCTGCATGATTCGACCTTTGGGGAAGGACAGCATGTTGCGTATTGGACGAAAGTCTCACAGTCCGGCGGCAGTTGACCCTGCCGATCTCAAAGCAAATACTCGGCTTAAGCCAGGCGGTTAGCAACTAAGCAGGAACGACTTACATGGGCACGAATTCCATGCGAAATCAGTTGTTCAATCGGGCCGGACAGCGATAGAGTGCAGGAAGAAGACATTGCACGCGTGATGAAATCCGAGCAGGCGCGCTGGACGGAGTTCGGCGAAAGTTCAGCGTCTCGCAGCCAGAACAAAACGGGGGAAGAAAAACGAACGACCATCTTAATGGAAAAGACGCCTTAAGTGCACGGACGACATACGGGGCCCGACAGTCAATTGATCCAGGCGAAGTAACCAGTCACGAATGGGGAGGAGACAGGATGGTCGTGGGGGAGTCCGTGCGTGCGCGCTGAACGTGACACCATGATGGTCCGGCCGCCCCGAACTGTTGGGGAAAATTGAGCGAACGAGAGAAGGCAAACCATCCAGCTAGAAAGCGACTAACGCAACAGCCAAAGGAAACCTTCGTGGATACGCCGGCAGGGCCCGTACGTCCCACTCCGCCTGGCCACGACGCGGGACCGGCAGTGGCCATGATAAGCCGCTGCGGCTCCCCGACGCCGTCTCCAACGGCAAAATCAAGACAGCCTCGGCGCGGGATAACGAGCAACCTCAAGACGGCCTCGGACGCCACGGCCACCCACGCCGGGCGCGAGTACCGTTTCGCGGCCTGACCAGTTCACGCTGTCGCTCGCGCCCGCCGGGTGAGAAGAGATGAATGGACACGCTTGGAACGCCAGCCGTCCATGGCTCGGTTGGGATGGGGACAACAGCCCGAGCACTCACATCGTGCGCGTTGTCGGTGTTCTTTCGTCTGCGGGGTTATGTGTTGACTCCGCGCTTCTTATTGGGACTCTCTGGTAGACTACTCTGGTACACCTGCTCATGCCTCTACCGCCCTTTTGCATAATCCCTTCTTTTTTTGGTGACTCCTTCTAACTGGGTCAGGCCGCCCTCGTTTTCTTGCATGATCCAATAGTTTGGTCGCAGCGCCCCCTCCGTCCAATGCGTTGCCGGGCCGGCCTACCCTTCCTCCAGGGCTCTGCTCCCAACGTGCCCCTGGGCCAAATTTCGGGCGTGGCGTCGCCGGCGACAGTGCGAGGCCCACCCGCTCTCTTCCTGACTCGTCTCGGGAGGGCCCTGTTCGTCCCCTCCGGCCCAGATTTTAAGTGGCGTGGTGCCTCTGGTGCCAGCTTGGGTGACGGCGGTGTCGGCTCGACGGGGATCTTGGGGCGGAGCGGCAAAATCTTAAAAAACACGTCGACCAAGCATCCTTGCGGCATGTTGCTTCGTCGGTGATCTGGCGTCCCGCGTTCATTAATATCGACGTAGTGATCCACTTCAGAAGACGCGGCCACGGTCAGGGCTGTTCCGGAGGGAAAACGGCGACTTGTCCCATCTGCCCAGGCGACGCGCGCTGTTTTCCCGTGCAGGATCGGTCGAAAACAGGCTCTGCTTTGCTGCTGCAGGCCGACCGGCTGGGCGTCGGGTAGATCTGTATTCCCCTCTCAGGCCCCACTGGGTCTGATGGTTGTGCTGGTTGGCGGGGACGTTCCTGACCATGGCCGGCTTGCTCGCCGTCCCACTCTTCGCAGGTCCCCTCTCGGACCCCACTGGGCCTGATGGTTGTGCCGGCTCGGCGGGGAAGTTCCTGACCATGGCCGGCTTGCTCGCTGTCCCACGCTTCGCAGGGAAACTCCAGCGACCATGGACGGCTGGCGCGCAAATTGGACATCATTGAAATGCATGCCTACATACGCCTCAAGCAATGTACCCGACAACTGATAAGTTGATCATTAATACCCATGCGCGCCAAACGCTCCGAATGTAGCCAAACTCTTTCTATATGGATAGCCATGGGTAACCTGACCCGCTCCAGTTTACTACAGCCAGCACAATTCACAGTTTGAACTGGCATTTAAGACACACGCATGTAGCTGATACGGAGTCCGGTGTGACGCTGGGAAGCAGAGATGCCGGCTCTGGCGCAGTGTGAAGGCAGTGTAGTAGACTGGCGTTAAGTGCAAGACAGAAGCTTAACCGCGGCCCGGGTCAGGACGTCACTAGCGTTGTGCGTGCACACGCGTTCTCAACAGGTTCAACCGGTACAGACAGCTATAATAGGACTAACTTCGGCCTCCACCAGTATAAAAGTTGCTCCCCGCTCCCAAACGACACCATTCGGACAGCAGACTCAAGATGAAGCTCGTAAGTGGTCGGCCTAGCTCTGCTAACGGCAGACTCTGGTGTCCCGTCAGTGACAGTGCCGTGAATGGGAGCAGTTGGAACAGGCCGAGTGTTTCAAGTCCAGAGTGAGGAGGGCCTGAACCCTCTCGGGGGCAGGACTCTCGTGACATCGAATCCATGACATTGTCGACATCTTTCCATTTGTATTGCAGCTGCCAGTGCACGAACGGTAACATGGCAGTGCATGCTGTTGACGGTCGTTCTGTTTGTGCGCACAGCTGATCGTCCTGTGCCTCGCCGCTGTGGCCCTGGCCCGGCCCCAGGATGAGAGGAACGCCGAGATCATCACCTACGAAAACGAGCTGAGGGAGGACCAGTCCTACGACTTCAAGTACGTTAACATCCTGGACTAGTTAACTTCAGGCTGCTTTTGTTGATTTGATTCTCCTGAGGGGAATTATTTGTGAGTGGGGCGCCGAATAACTTAGCTTGACAGGTTTTCTCCAAGCTCCACGGCACTTACTCGGGACCAGCACTAAAACGAAATTAGAGTCGTAACAAAAAACATCATGGCAGTTGGTTTGAGGGTAAATCTTACCATAGCATAGAAATTTTGATTAACCAGGCATACTAAGCATCACTGCTTTTACAGCTCTGAGGCAATAGGCGAGTCCTACAGATCTGAAATGCCGTAATGCATGTAACACTGGATGTTTCCCACCCATAGCCTGGAAACCACCAACGGCATTATCCGCGAGGAGTCCGGCATCTCGTACCCGGGTGCCGAGCCGGAGACCGGCAGCTACACCCAGTCGGGCAGCTACGAGCACACCCACCCGGACGGCTTGGTCACCTACCTGACCTTCATCGCCGACGAGAACGGCTACCGGCCCGAGAGCGATGCCATCCCCGTGTTCAGCGGACGCGTCGACATCCAGGACGTCTAGAGGAGCCTAGTCCGTGTGCTGTCCACTGAAGGTCATCTGGATGCGGTGGCGGGGAAGGACACCGTCCTCGCCAGCAGCACTACAAAGGCAGGGGTGACACTTGGTCCCCAGAGTCTCTCAGATGGTCATCGGGACGATGGGCAGCGGGAGCCTGCTCTTGCCCTCTGTGCAAGGATTTCTGGTGGGCATTTCATACAACTTGCATTGTGCCATTCATTAACACTTTTCGTCCCTATAATACGTGTGGACTTCCAGCCAAGTCTGCTGTCGATGATCGAAATGAATTACTTGGGTGGATCTGTATCTTATCACGTACTTCCTTCGCCTTCACAGGTGTAAACTGTGAGCAATATTCTGTATGCTCCGTTTCTATTCTCGTTTGTAGGCACGAAATACAACAGATTGTCTCCTATATTGCGTCTGATGTAACTTAACTACAGAAGTCCACCGATGCAAAAGTAAAAATGCCATAATCAGAAGCCGACAAATACGTTGTATAAATTACCTTAAGAAGTTGTGACACATTTTGCGAGGGGCTCGGATGATAATGGCAACGTTCAAAGCCGTGGGTTGAAAACGGGCGACAGGGACATCACCCCTTTGAATGCCACTTTACTCCATTCCATCTGGTTAGACATCGTTCGTATATGAACAGGGCTCGGTTGAATCTTTGGAAAATTTTGGCAATGTTTGTTTTCTTCATTTGGAGAATTTCTCTCAAGACATGGAACGTAGCTCAACGCTGAGGCTCGAGTTGCTGGCATGATGTCTTTTTTACTGTTAAATTCGTGGTCTTACGTAGCGTGATATTTTTTGATTATTTAATGCCGTTCAAGGCCAATACAAACCACGAAACTGCTTGAACTCCGCGCAGTCAATAATTCTGCGAGTCAAGCAGGGGTGGCAAACGTGTGTATATATTCACGCGAAACGTAGTGTCAGAAGTGCTTCTGACAGGATGTTTTGGTGAAATTCACGACACGATAATGCAGCGCACGCTGCATGACCTAGCTCAAGGCTTCCATACACACATCATTTGCCTCCATGGTAATACACTTTGTCACACGACGCAAGCAAACCTTTCCGAAAAGGCCCTTTAACCTACTCTTACGGCACCATGCTATCTTTTTAGGCCTCTTTCCAGCCTGGTGACTAAAATATCCGATGACTTTTAATTGATTGCTCGACTCGGTGACACATTTGCGACCAATCAATGTATTTCCTATGGCGCGGCCGGTCGCCCGCTCAGCTGTTTTACCAGCCGAGTCTCAGGGTCTCAAACTAGACGGTATATATCACTGAAGAAGGCCCAGATGTGGCGGTTCATCTTGGCGCCAGGGCATGTTTTAATCGTTGCGCTAAGATTGATATGAGTTGGGCGCTGACGTTCAATGCCCTGCGACTTTACAAGCGGCATCTGCATTGGGGTGTCATAAGTACCTGCCTGGGGTTTAATTTTTGGGCCTTGTTTACTTCGTTGGCGGTGCCGCGATTCAGCATCCTTTTAATGACGAGAGGCATTGACAATTTAGGGTAAATCGGCAACATGATCCGATCGAGACAGAAATTGACCGGTGATTATTCAGACAGCCTTTTCAAAACAGAAAACACTATTGACTCACTGTTGTGGTCACAAGCGACCAGCCTTCATTCCTTTGACAGGGGCTGTAAAAGTGTATTTTTTTTTTGTCGCCGACTGAGTTCCTGCGCACAAAATTGGTGCCAGCATCATAACGCAATGTCATATGACAAGAGACAGCCGTGACGTCCATGCCCAGCGGCGTCATCAGAAATCGGCGTACCACCGAAAGCCTCTTTCATCACTGCAACTTGCAATTTATGCACACAACCGAAACGCTCATTCATACCATGTTGCTCAACTAATGCCAGAATAACTGCTGCTGTGAAAAATGCAGGCACACCGGCCTTAGACAATGCGGTAGGCCAATCATAAAAGCAGTCTTCTCGCACCCTCAGGACTTACCGCGGCATCACGTTTGAGCTCGATGCACGGCTGGATTTGCTATCTTCGACCGCGAAAAAACCGCAAGGACCTCAAGAGCCAGGATAGCTTAGTGCACCGGCAGAATTCTTACCAGTGGCAGGCACCAGCGCAGGATGGCGTCCAACATGTTGGCCTCCTCGAAGACCATGTCCCTTACGGAAACCATGTGTGCGCCTCGAGCCCCACCCCCAACCATAACGATACTCTCCACCATACCTTAGCTATGCTCCAAACCTGACACGACATTTGTTTCCTGGTGGGCGCCTTTCGCTGCTCCCCGGCAATGTGCATGTACAGATTCAAGCTGAGTTTCTAGGATACTTCGAAAGGAAAACTCAATGCATTGGGTTCCGTTGGGCTCAGATTGAGGTGGAGGCGACTGCGCAAGTGCTGGATGGGAACACAGAACTATTTGCAGAAATCAGATACCAGTTGTTCCACATTCTTGTCACGCTGCGCAAAAACCAAAAACCAAAACCAAACCAAAACCAAAACAATCATTTACGGCTGCAGCCCAACTTTCGAAGACTTTTGCGTGTTTTCAGGACCCGAGGGTAGTAGAAATTCTAGGCTTAAACTGTATGATTTCACGCCGTTTGAACAATGACATGATGTGTTTCCATCAACATGACACCAACCAACTAAAGCGGGGCTAGCAGTCTCTGCTACCCTTTGCACACAGAAGTTCAGAAGCTCGCTCGTTGTTTTGGACGCGCCGAAGGCGCGAAACTGTTAGTTCTGTTGAACCCATACGTCCGTCCTTGTATGAACCATAGCCTGAAGGTGTTTTCCATTTTTACGTTAATAAAGCCGCACATAAGTTCGCAAACGAGCGTTGACATGCACTGCCATTTTAAGCCGCACTTCAGTACTTTTCCCGCATAGATGTACGAGGGTTTTACTTAATACGCGATATCAGCAGCTCCATTTTAAAAGCAAAATAAGATCCAAGCTATTCAAAACATAATTTGATCGTCAATGCTAATCCTTAGCTGTATATATATATATATATATATATATATATATATATATATATATATATATATATATACTCTGGCGAACAAATGGGTCGCTGAGCGACCATCAGCAACCAAACGAACACTTCGATGTCAGAAGGGCCCACAAACGACCACCAGCTCCGCCTAGTGACCAGGGGGTCTGGGCGACCAGTTAAGTCCTTAAGCTGTCAGAGAGAGACCCCGCCCACACGAGACTCCTCAATAACCAAAGGGGCACCCAGGGGCCAGAAGGGCACGGATCAGGTAAACCGGCCCGCGAACGACCAGAGAGGCCCTGACTACATAAGAGGTCGAGAGGTCAATGTGGCCCGTGACCGAATGTTGCCATTAGGGCTTTACATCGCACGGGGCTTGTGAGGCTAGCCAATGTCACCTGCTTACATCGCGTCACCCTGACAGAGAGGGCAGCCACGAAGGAGAACCGATCCCTGTACCTTTGGTTTCCCCGGCGCACATTTCAACCACCACAATAAAACGGTCCAAGAGGGCCTGGGTAGTGACATATTAATTAGGTGTGCTGAAAGAACTCTTAAATGACAGACGAGCCCTGCTCAGCTGTTCGGTCCCAAAAACACACGGTAGCCGGCTGAGGCCTACATGTCCGTAACAGGGGCCTCTGGGTGTCCAACTGGGACCTTGTGAGTACGCACAGGACGGGTTCTACTCATTCAGCACACACAGTTTTCCTCACGCTGCACGCAGCAAAGACAGCCGTGAGCAGACCTCCACAGCAGACCTCCCCGGGTTTTGAGTCTTACGTGATCAGGGAAAAATGGACGCCACCACCCCAACACCTCATACCCCACAGGACTTTTAGCCATGACCTCAGCTGTAACAAGGTAGTTTTGACGGCTAGTTCAGTGGGGACCCTGCGCAGACAGAAAGAAATACCAGAGGCTGGAAAAATTGTTTGCGAGCCAAAATGATGCCTTAATGGCTAGACATGCCCTTCGAGATCAAGAACCTAAATCTAATCAAAATCTAAAATCCTAAATCTAAATCGCTCCGGCAAGGGAGCCTCCAATAGCCAGAGGAGTGCTTTGAAATCGGCTCTGGCCAAGCCAGGTTACCTCAGTTAGATGTCATTAAAACAGATCTTTATGTTGCCATTCCAGAAATTTGTAACGCAACAGCTACCACATTGAGTTTTATTAATGCTCCACACCCGCCTGCTTATTCTTCCTGAACAACGTATTAGCCCTCGCGTTCATAGGGGAGCCAATACGACTCCCCAGCCCCCATGGCTTTCTGGGGTACAAGTCCAGCATGTCGCGCAGTCGCCCCGATTTCCTCATAGCCTAAAAGTATTCATTGCACTTGTTTTCGCGCCAAGAGCGTGTTTCTAGCATTTCTGGTTTTTGAGGAGCGGCTGTTTTCAGCAGCACTGAATGGCGATTAACGGCAGGCGCGGGTAACCGACGATTCTGTGGACCGCGCGCGGAGACCCGGCACTCCAAAAAGAGATCCCACCATGAAGCTTACAAGGTGGACGACAGGGGACCGGGTCGCCGGACAGGTCGGTCAGGCCGATTCTTCAGGCCGCGCCGGCCGCGGAGACCGTAAGGCGTGAACGCAAGTCATGTCGGGAGCTTGCTGTCTGCCGAGAGGCTCCACTCTCCTATCGGACGCGCTGTCTACCTCCAGGCCTCTGAGGAGCGCGTCGTGGGGTGGTGCTTGCAAAGCTCCTTCTGGCAGGCCGGAGGCGAGGGCGCAGAAGCGCCGGAGGCGACGTTTCCGTGTTGGACGAAGGGTTGCCTAAGACGCGTGCGCGGCAGCAGAAAGCTTCGAGCGGTGCGCGTGGCCGAAGGAGTGGTGGGCCGTCCCACCATGGACGAGGCTCGAGGAAGCGTCGTTCGAATAGGGATCCGTCATCCAAGAGGTCAGGCGAGGGTACGATTCGTCGTTCAGCTTTGAACACCCGATGCCGGCCCAGAAGCCGCGTCGGTGTCACGCTGATAACTTAACTTTCTAAGTCTTAAAAAGACATGCACGTGGCTGCACTACATCTTTAAAACGCGTTCCATAACTTAAACTGAGATCAACGACGACTGGCGCAGACCAGCCAATTACAATGTCAAGCCGCTGGAAAGTTGGGGGCACATCTGTGTGTGAGCCAAGATTGAGTGGGGTGACGTGAGCACCAGCGGGTGAGCGTGCTTGGAGTGACTGGTTGGGCGCCGAAGCATGACGCCTGTGTGGATGACTGAAGGCCGAGAGGTGGGGGCTCCAGTACAAATTCGCCCTTGTAGGGAGGCGTGGAAGCGGGAACTGGCGGCCCTCAAACACCTGGCAGCATCCGGGCAGCAGCGCAGCGCACGTACCTCACCCTAGAACCTCCGTCACACCTACCATAAGTTATTCCTGGCTGTGATTTGTTAACGTTGTGCAGCTTAGCGGTAAACAACTGCAGCAACAGATGCGCTGTAAACACGCGCTGGGGATGGGGTCAGATTGGCCCCCTGCCCGAAGGATCTCCTCATTTAGATCCGAATGGCGCGGCGCAGCCGCGCCAAATTTTGCATAGCTATCGGGAATTGAATAGCGAAACATTTCATGCAAACGAACAGCTGTACCTTGTAAATTTGCTGACCTAAAGCCGGCCAAAGTAATGCCGCAATGCCGTCAGCGAATGGCATTTCTATAGGCTTGTTCAATGTGTGGGACAACGGAGTGTTAGAACAAACCATACGTATCTGAGATAGTTTGCTAGGCAGTAAGCCAACTAACTTATCAATAGCATCAAATTCCATTGGCCGAGGGCCAAATGGCAAGGTCAAACCTAGGTTAAAACTGAGATTCTTTTTTACCCGAAAGCTCGGTTAATGGGGCAACTTCTGGTGCTCACTTCGAGTTTATTCGTGACTGAGGCCTCAGCAGACATGGTCCATGGGTTTCTAGAGGTCAGAGTAAGTCGCTGACCTAAAATGACTCAGGTCAACATTTTGTTTTTTAAGAGCACACTGCCTAGCGTAATCCCTGATACTTATTTCGATGGCAAAGTGGGAGCATTATCGTATGGATTTGATCACCTTGACGTTATAAAGGCTAAACAAGGTCACTGACCTGAATCGAGCACCATTGGCTTTTAGCTTAGAACAGGTATGAGAAGGTCTGTCGGTTGCATGAGACGACGGTTGCATGAGAAGGTCTGTCGGCACTTGATATATCAATTTGGAGGTTGACCTTGTTTGGCGTTTTTTTACCCCAGTCATGACCTAGGAACCTTTAATTCGGAAAGCAGTGAGATCACATAAGGCTACCGACCCTCTAGATTTTGTGTTTTTAGCTACCTTTGTTTCTGAGCTTTCAGGACGGTCAAATTAACCCCCACCGAGCAAAGGGCATTTAAGCATCCACCCAGGCGCGTGTTAAGTATCCGAATCATCATCATCAACGGTGTGCTGTATTCACATGCCTCTCACCCACATCAAAAACACTTGATGAATTTGGGCTGAAATCCATCCCACTATCTGGTTTAACACGCGCTTCGGGTGGCCCTTCGCTCGCGTGGAGGGGTCAGTTTGCACCTACCTTGAGATCTCGGAAACGAAGATAGCCCGAGACACCAAATTCACAGGCTAGGTTAACCTGCAGGTCAACTCACTTGGGTAAAAATTTGAGGCTCCTGAGTCATGGCCACTCCTATTTTGTCATTCGAATGAGCATCAGGGATTACGTTAGGTGATATGTTCCTAAAAGCAAATGTCGCCCTGAATCATTTTAGGCCAGTGACCTACTCTGACCTACTCTGACCTACTCTAACCTACTCTGACCTACTCTGACCGTTCCAAAGGCCGTGGATCATAATTGTTGCAGTCCCTATCATAAATAAACTCGAAATAAGCACCAGAAACTACCCCATAAAACCAAGCTCTGGAGTAAAGGAGGTTAGTTTCGACCCCACTCTGGCCTTCACATGTGATCCTAAGTTACTGAAATTTACTGTAATTATAAAGCCAATTGGCGTATTGCCTTACAAACTGTCTCAGATGTGTATCGCTTTGTCTCTGCCGTTGAATCACATGGGGCGATTCCCTAGAAACGCTCTTCGCTGGCAGCCATTGCCTGACTTTGACCTGTCATAGGTCAACGACCTTACAAGATACACCTAATCTTTTACCTGAAAATATTGGCTTTTGAATTATCTACAGCTTTGCAAAGTTTAACGCGGCTACGCTGCACCGTTCGGAAATCCTTCTGGAAAAACCTTCGTGGGGTCATTTTGACCCCTGCCTAACCAAGCGCGTGGTAAAACAGCTCTAAAGTGGTCCCCTAAACCATAAGAGCTGAAAAAGGCCTTTAGCAGATTCCGCCGTCGTCATGACGACGGCGATTACCACAGCGACGGCTGTCAAGATAACTGCGGATGTCGTGGGCTCAGAATACATTCTGGAGTGACCAAGAAAGGACGACTTGTGGTGCTGTAAATAGCGTTGACGGCGTCATTTGGACTCCAAAAAAATGCAACTTTATATCCTTATAACACATTAACGGTGCTGCAGTGACCCTATCCACTGCAATCATTAGACGTAAACCTTTCTGAGCTTCAGAGGTTTACTCCAAAGTAATATGGGAGATCCCCTGATATGATAAATGTGAGCGCACGAATTAAGAGAATAACCATTTAAAAAGTAGATAAACCTCTCAACATCCCATCAGAAGCGGCCCAAAATGTAGTGTAAGATGTAATCTGTAAAATACAGGCCGTGTCAAGAGCTGCAGCTGAAACGTCATGAAATGCTAACGCATTGATGCATAAAATCACTAAAAATTTTCTTCTCACAGCTTATGTTGCCGTCAAGGATAATTTTGGTACTGGTTATTCCAAACGTCACGTGCATTGTAGCAGTAGGAGACACACATTAGAGATGCAGATGCAGGTAACAGTCCCAAGCTGGAAAACAGCAATAGGAGCCATATGGTGCTGTACAGAATGCAACAAGGGGAAATCAGCTCTCTTTCTTCCCCAACTTTAACCACTTTTATTTGTTAAGTAGCAGCAAAATGCCAACCTATTCTGTACCTGGGGAATAATATCATCTTTTGATACTGAAAAATCAGAATGCAAGGGGCCAAAGGTGGATGAGGACAGCTAAAGGTGTTCAATTCGAAGCATGTGTCACTCAATCCAATGGTATATTTCATGGCACTTTGCGCCATCTATAAAGTTAAATGAACATGTCTTGAATGCTTTGGCTATGAAGGACTTAGCATCTGTGAATGAATTGGCATCCAGGAATGGTTTGGCACACACCGAATTCGACCAATCAATGTTTACAATACAACAGTGATTAATCGATCATACCGGATATTTCATCACGTGAAAAATCAGTAACAGGCTGGATGTAACTTGGCCTCAAATCTTTGCAATTCACATTACCGCTTATGCCAAACACACAAAGAACGCTGTTTTACTAAGATTTACCCACTTCAAGACAGTGCAATTGTGAAGCCTGAAGGGAAAATATCTGAAATACTAAGTGGTGTCTTGCATACAGGCATTTGAGATATGTGAATTTGCATGCTATTCTACTGATTATCCTAAAGCTCTGCAGCGTGGGGTATGTGGAGTCGAGTGTAGTTGAAGGCTGTAACGTTTTATGCCCCACAATGTTGTGGTGACCACGCAAATTGTTAAATTCACTTTGTTAACACCGTCATCGAACACAAAATAAGTCCAGCAGTCGACGAGCCCAAACACCCAAGTAATTAAAGCAATCTACGGAGACGAGTCAAATCGCGTTCATCACCAATCGGCAAACGTTTCCCTAGGTGACTGGTTAATCGTATGCCACTAGTGGTTATAAAGACAGCCATGATGGCTATTTTTGCACGTAACCAAGCAGAAAATCAGTTGTTTTCGGCCTGCAAAGACAGTCGGGTTGACGAAATATGACCAAAATGGTCCACTACACGAAAGAAAACTGTCGGACTCCTCAAGACGGTAACATTTTAGTGATACGCAACACTAAAATGTGTTTTTTAGCACTACAATTTTTCTTCCTGCCGAACCTATCTATGATAAGGCAGTTTTTATCTTGCGGCTGGTGCGCACACGTTAGTTCAAGAACGCCTGATCCATGCAAACCGCTAATCGAATGCCCAGGCCAAGTTATTTAAACAACGGTCGTGAAACCTTCACCCCTTAAATGAAAGTATATTTTTCAAGCGGCGTCGTATCTGGCCTGGATTTCAAAGGAATCCAAATAAGTTAGTTGAAAAGGTTGAAGTTGGTTGAAAAAACAGAGGTTCGCTTTCAGCGTTCGGTATGGTTTCGAGTAACAATCAGCACAGAAAATGAACAAGGTTTAAAAATTGTAACAATGCTGGTTGTTGCTTCATAACTACTGCAGTTGTGTCCCAAATGTTAATGGACCGCTAAAGGTACGCATGAGAAGGGCTGAAAAGCTCTAAGAGCAGATGCATTGTAAAAAGCTTGCCTTTTTCAAATTCTCACTGAAACCCATTAATCGCTGTGAGGAAACCGAACCAGCAACGCTAGCCACCTCACTGCAGAGCTCTCTTTTTGCTATATCATGTGTGCTTTGAATTTTCTCTGAAACATGGCTGGAGCGGGAGGAAATTGTCATTCCATCCACACCGAACGCGAATGCTGATATTTTGCCTTGAAACGGTCTTGAAGACAAAGGCTGTATTCCACGAACACATATGAAAAACAACGGAAATATAACCATGATCTACATATAGCACATCCCTAAAAGAACGGGACGCATGAACAAGGTTCGGCCCAGGGGCCTGAGATAAAAGCGCATAGATGTCAACAGCTGACGAGCAGCGGAAGACAATGATGAGATAGTACAATGCTGGCTGAGTGAAAGGCTACCAGAAGTCGTTGCACAGAGGGCAAGACCAGATTCTTGTGTGCGATTGTATTAAAGATCATCTTTGAGTTGCGTGGAGTTGGTTGCACTGGTGAAAGCACATTCCCGCCACCGCATCCAGATGACCTTCAGTGGACAGCACACGGACTAGGCTCCTCTAGACGTCCTGGATGTCGACGCGTCCGCTGGACACGGGGATGGCATCGCCCTCGGGCCGGTAGCCGTTCTCGTCGGCGATGAAGGTCAGGTAGGTGACCGAGCCGTCCGGGTGGGGGTGCTCGAAGCTGCCCGACTGGGTGTAGCTGCCGGTCTCCGGCTCGGCACCCGGGTACGAGATGCCGGACTCCTCGCGGATAATACCGTTGGTGGTTTCCAGGCTATGGGTGGGAAATATCCAGTGTTACAATGCATTACGGCATTTCAGATCTGCAGGGCTCATCCATTGGCTCAGAGATGTAAATGCAATGGTACTTATGCCTCGTGGATCAAAATTAATGTCTTATGGTAAGGTTTACCCTCAACTTAATTTATGTGACTTTTTTTGCTCCGGCTATGATTTCGCTTCAGTATTTGTCCCGAATGAGAGCCTTGAAACTTGGAGGGCACTTCTTGAGTTAATTCAGCCAGCGCTCTGCTCACATAACATTCCCTTCAGAAAAATGTCAACAAAAGCAGCCTTAAGTTAATTAGTCCAAGGTCTCAACGTACTTGAAGTCGTAGGACTGGTCCTCCCTCAGCTCGTTTTCGTAGGTGATGATCTCGGCGTTCCTCTCATCCTGGGGCCGGGCCAGGGCCACAGCGGCGAGGCACAGGACGATCAGCTGTGCGTACAAACAGAACGACCGTCAACAGCATACACTGCCATGTTACGATCACGATGGAAACCTTCCTATTGGCAAGTTTACGTGGCGTCAATATTCAACTTGGAATAAGCGAAATTCCCAGTGTGAGCACAAGGTGAGAAGCACAACGTGGAAGCACTTGAAAGATTAGGTCAAGGCTGTACACATTGGCGGAAATACTTTAGCATTGAGCCTTTTAATCCCAAAATCCTCATCCTCGATATCGCAATTCGTTCTGCGCGCTTAGAATGTTCTTGGTCACTGCACAAACTGCTGCTAGCGCGGCAGACATCAGCACGGCGAGCACCAGCACTAGCACAGCCCGGTCGGCAACTTACGAGCTTCATGTTGCGAGTCTGCCGTTACAGTGGTGCCTGTTGGGAGCAAGGAGCGGCTTTTATACCGGCGCAGACGACCGCAAGCCTGTCGTGGCTGCTCTGCCGGCTGACCCTGTACAGAACTAGTCCGTGCCAGCACAAAGATCGTGGAGTACTGGCATCAACAACATTTTGGTTCATATGGAATATTAACCCGAAATGGAAGCTTTGCACTGAGTGGAATAACTCGTGGTGTGTGGCATAATGCGATGATGAGGATGGCTCAAAGTTTACAAAATTTGAGTGGAAAAATGTATAGCAATGTTTTTTTACTGAGGTGGTATTTAAATCGGATGTCGTCTGAATGTTACCACAAACTTAATTCAATTAGTAATGACGCATGCGTCCATCACACAGCGCGCATGCCCAATGAAATTTCCGGCTATTGGTGGCTGCCTCCAACTGTCATTCTGCGGTCTACATCAAGGGTTCATAGTTTCAATGCAATTAGGTATTC